CTTTTCCTCCTGTGTTTGTGATCTTTCCTGTGTTGGTCTCTCCTTAAGAGGAGAAGGTACACTCTTCTGCAAGCTATCATCATTTTTCTGAGCAGCTACACCAACAGTTTGGTCTTTGTTCACAGACTTTTTTAGCGGTGAAAACTGTGGCACTTGTGGCACAGGTGTTTTTTTCTCAGGCAGCATAGGAGACTTTACAGAGCTTTCAACATTACTCTTTTCTGATGGGGAGGGATCCTTATGAAGTGAAGCAATACCATCAGAAGCCTGTGATGTTCGCCTCTGCGGTTTTGGTGCAGAACGCTGAGCAGACGATGGTCCAGCTCTGGGTTTGACAAGATTTGGCATGGTGGAGATGCGTTTTCTTCTCTGTGTAAGCATCTCTGCAGGTTTACTAGCTTCCCCAGTGCCACTTGTATTGTCTGCCTTGTCATCACTGGAAAATTTAAGAAAGTATTCTTAAGTTCTTTACAGTGAAAGATTTGTTGCTGTTACTTTCAAGATGTGTTTATGGGCCAATCAGTATGAACACTAGGCTACAGGAAAGCAGTTATACACAAGAAGCCATGCTAGGACCAACATGTAGCTGGTATTTCCTCATCAAAGAATTAGCTCTAAGAACTGACATATTATTTTCTAATACTAATCACTGATCAACAAGCTTGCAACAATAACACAGTCTCACACCCTACCTCTTTTTTTCTGAAGGCTCTCTCAGCTGAAAATACACCAGTACCATAAAGCTTTATAAAAAGTTACCCACATAACATAGGTGATATATTAAAAACACTTCAACAAAGCTGTATGTAACAGTGATTTGGTGACTTTTATTGCAACAAAACGGAACATTTCTATTACGCATTTGCAAGTAGGTGATATGTAAACTGTGACTTCCAGAAAAACTTCAGCAAACCATGCTCACACTTTACACATCAATAGCTCTTAGCTTCCCTGTATGTACTTTGTATGTAAATACTTTTTCTATCACTTATGCAGAAATAATTTTCAAAGTGCAAGTAAAATTGCCAACCGTTATGATCATCCCAAATCTGCTGACTCTACCAGTGTTCAGTTTCATGGCTGTTACTCATAGTAAGACTGCAGTATAATTATAACTGAGTCATAAAGCAAGTTTTTAAAATTTTGTATTGGAACTATGCCTTGTTTCTGTACGTAAGGACAACCACACCCATGGTTCACTTACACATTTTTTAAAAAGGTCAAAAGTAAATGCTTTCCAAAAAATATAAAAAAAGTATAAACACATAGTCAAACTTTTCAAAATTCTCTCCAGCTATGTCTATGCCTATGACTCAGGCAAATGCTGCAGATGATGTATTTGCATTTAGCAGCCTCTGTTAAATGGCTGGATCAATTTGTCCCACACTTTGAGTTCATACACAGTTTTAGCACAGAACACCTCTGGGCAGAGTTTAGAGGGCTAATAACATTGTGCCTATTTAGGTGTTTTGAATGAGATCCTTGCAAGTTCCACTCAACACCCACTGTTCTTTGTACAGCACGAGACAATGGAAATTCTTAATTCACCTTCTCCATACCACCTATGGTATGTGGAATTTTTAATCAGAGTGCAGCACTAGATTTCTGAACAGTTAAATAAAATTTAACAGAAAGTATATTAAAAAATTAGAATTCTCTTACAAAATTTTCCACTTCCCTGATAATTAACAAAACTTATTCAGTATATAGAAAATAAAACAATGTAAAGTGACTGATGCTACAGACACAGACTTGAGCAGCAGTGAGTGAAGAGATCAGTGTCTGCCCCTCCACTTCCCCTCATGAAGAAGTTGTAGATTACAAAGTGGTCTCCCCTAAGTCTCCTCCAGGCTGAACAGACCAAATGACCTCAGCCACTCCTCAAGGCCCTTCACCATCTTTGCTGCCCCTCTTTGGATGCTCTCTAACAGCTCAATGTTTTTCTTATACCCAAAACTGCCCCCAGCACTCACTGCCCGTGAGGCAGCCCCACGGCAGAGCAGAGGAGGACAATCTTGCCTGGCTGTGATGCTGTGCCTGATGCACCCCAGGACACAGGTCGCCCTTCTGGCTGCCAGGGCACTGCTGACTCATGTTGAGCTTGCCACTGACCAGGACCCTCAAGTCATTTTCCTCCAGTCATTTGTTCCCCAGTCTGTCCACACATTCAGGGTTGCCCCATCCCAGGTATAGAATCTGGCACTTTCCCTTTTTGAACTTCATATGGCCAGTGTTTGCCCAGCCCTCTTAATTTGTTGAGGTCTCCCTGCAGGGCCATTTTGTATCATGTACCAAACTTACTTAATATGCCTTCGAAACCAGTGTCCAGTCATTTATGAAGCTGTTGAAGAGCAGAGGATGGAGCCCTGTGGAACCCCACCAGTGACAGGTCACCAGTCTGATGTCACCCATTCATTGTAACCCAACCCATGAACCTGTTGCTCACACATCACATGATGCGTTCATCCAGGTGTGTGCTGGATGTTTTGTCAAGAAGGAAGGATAGTGTGAGAGCCAATATGGAAAGTTCTACTGAAATCCAAAAGGATTACAGGAACTGGTTTCCCCAGGTCAGCTAGGTGGGCTACCCTGCAGAAGGCTATATGGCAAAGACCTATTTTTAGACCATGAAACTAGATCAAAGTGCCTTTCAGAGTCACACCAATACCTAGTTTTGAAACTTAAAATTATATTACACTGATGCACCTGTTAAATTACGAACACAAAAGTCTTTTACAAATCTGCTGAAACAACAACAGTAGCATCTAAGTGAAAAATCATAAAAATTTCTTCATTTTAAAAAAATCAGATAACAAAACATCCAGTAAGATGATCCCTGTAACATAAACATTTTATAAATAAAACTTGAAAGAATGGCAGTCTTGAAACAAAATGCAAAACAAGTAAAGATGTAAAATACCAATTGAATAAAACATGGTATGGGTTTCCTAAAGACATGCCATGCCAACTAGTCTGACACCTGAATTTCCAACCACAGAAACAGACATTAACACTGTTTCATCATACTGTCATAATGAGCAACCTTCAACTAAAAGAATAAAAGGATTTATGAAAGACTCAAACCCAACTGTAAAAAAGAAGTGTGAATGTTGTTCTGAAGAACAATTATCAGATGAAGGACATGTCCTGAAACACTGATCTGTACTGCCTTTGGTGGGGACAGAATTAACTTCCTTCACAGTAGCTCTGATGTTGCTGTTTCAGATTTGTGACACAACAGTGCTGACAGCACACCCATGCTTTCAGCTAATGCTGAGCAATGATCATGCGGCACCAGGGTTATTTCCCACAATGCACCATGGCTGTCCATTCTGGGAATCAGAAAGAAATTGGGACGGGGCACAGCCAGGACAGCTGATCTCAGAAGACTGAGGGCTATCCCACAGCATATGGCATCATGCTCCTCAGTAAAAGCTAGGAGAAGAAGAAAGAAAGGACATTTGGAGTTATGGCATTTGTCTTCCCAAGTACCTGTTATGAGTGATGGATCCCTTCTTTCCTGGAGACAATTAAATACCTGTGGGTAGTGGTGACTGAATCCCCAGTTCTGCTTTGCTTACATGCCCAGGTAATTGAACTGTCTTTATCATAACACACCTTTTCTTGAACTTTTGCCGTTTTGATTTTCTGCCCATCCCACCAGGCTGGGAGGGGCAGGGGTGTGGGGAAGCAAGCAATAAACTGTGCGGGGTTTAGTAACCAGCTAGGCTTAACCTACAGAAGAGAGGTCCTCAGGGAGAGCCAGTCCTAAGGCCAACTTTACCATGTGCTTCCATCACATTAAAAAGCCCTTAAAAACCTCTAAAAATAGCAAAAAAAAAAAAAAAAAAAAAAAANCCCACAAAAAAACCGCAAAAAAACTAACTCAAAAAAAAAACAAAAGGAAAAGTCCTCCCTTGCCAATTCATAAAGAAATGAACACAAAAGAGAAAATGCTGTTGGAATGCAAAATCAAACTCATCTGGTTACAGAGCACAAAGAATTTTTGCTGCACACAGCAAATCATGGCTCCTGGCTGCTGTGGAGCTAGAAGTAAGGAGTATCGGACCACACTGGGTTCCTCCTTTGCAATCTTCACTTACAGAATCACAGGAGCCATTTTGCTGGAAAACACCTCGAGATCGTAGAGTTCAACCTATGACTCAAAACCACCTTGTCAACCAGACCACAGCACTACATGCCATGTCCAGTCTTTCCTTAAACACCTCTAAGGATGGTGACTGCACCACCTCTCTGGGCAGCCCAATGCAATGTTATTCCAAGCACCTGCTGCACAACGGCAGTGAAGAAACGGCGGTTTCTTAGTCTACGAAGGCGCCAAACAATATTGTCTGACAACCCTGGACACGCCGTCATCGGGCACCGACCGTACGCGTCTTGCACGAGGTCTTCAGGCCGAGCCAGCGCCCTGTCATAGCACTGAAACCAGGCGGCGACGGGCCACGACAACCGGCGCTACGCAGAGCCACCGCCAGCTCCGGGGATGCGCCGGGTCCGGCCCTGCACAGGCCCGTCCCGCTCCCGGGAATCCGCGGCCCAGTGCCGCCGGCGGCCCCACACACTGCCCTGCTAGGGCGAGCTCGGCGGGACTCACCTCTCTTCCCGCCGCGCGCCCGTCGATTCCGCCGCGGTCCCTGCTCCGTCCGCCGCCGGGATGTCCGAGCCTGGGGGTTCCGCCGGCTCGGGGTCCACCGCGCCAGCGGCGGCGGCTCTGCCCGGGGGGCGCACGTTGGGCCGCACGGTGAGACGGGCCCGCCGGAACATGGCGGCGGCTCCGGGAGACGGGCGCGCCGGGCGCTCGCGGGAGACGCGCCCGCCCGCGAGCTCGGCGGCGTCAGCAGCGCGCGGCGGCGAGGGCCCGCGGGTGCCGCGAGCCCGGCCGGCTCACGGCGTGCCGCCCCGGCGGCGCGCCCCGCACCGTCATCAGCCCGCACCCATCGCGAGATGAGGGGCGGGAGGCGGAGCCTCTACGGGGAAGCAGTAACGGCGCCGTAGCCGCCTGTAAGGCCCCAGCAACTGCTCAGCCGCGTGGCCCCAGTTCAGCCGGCTCCCAGCAGCTGTCCAGGCGCCCGCTCTGCCCCCAGCCCAGGCTGCCACACCACAGCCCCCGCACCTCTCCCTCACACTCGGGCCCGGCAGGACGCGCAGCACGAGCCTCGCAGGGCTCCTGCCCGCGGGGCGGGGTCAGCGGCGCGCGTCCCGCTGATTGGGCCGGGCCCGCGCGGCGCCGTGACATCACGGCCAGCGAGGCGCCATAAGGTGCGGCGGCGGCGGCGCCGCCTCAGACCGCTGCGGTGGTAGGGGCGGAGGAGGGTCGAGTTTGGCCGGTGCTAGCGGTCGGAGGCGTAGCGGCGCTGCGCGGCCTGAGCGTCTCGCTATGACCCGTGAGTACTGGGGAGCTGTTTGGGACTGTCGGGTAGCGAAGTGGGCGACAGGACTTGAGCCGCCCTCCTGGTCGGTTCCAGCTGTGGGGCGCGACGCCGAGGGCGGTCCGGCTGGGGGTCGTGCCTGGGCCGCGGTATGGAAGTCAGCCGCTGTGTGAGGCCAATGTCGCGTCCGGCTCTTTGCGGACTTGGCGTCCCACCAGCGAAATGTCGCCTGTAGCGACTGCGTGAGGAGGAGTTTTTTTCCCATGTCCTGCTGCCTTCCGAAGCTGGAGGGGAAAACATCCTCCTCCGCCTTCTGGCGTGTCAGTGGAGGCGGGACCGGGGGGAGAAATTAAGGTAATGTTGGGCTGAAACAACAGCCACACTCCATTTCATTTCCGGCTGCCGCCCAGACTGAAAATAGAGGGCTTTACTATCTGTGCTGAATATTGAATACTATGCTGCTTTAACCTGTGGTGGTTGAGGCTGTTGTTGAAAGGGCAAGAGCGCTCGGTGAATCGCCACCGTGCTGAATGCTGACCAACAGCAGTGTTCGCACACCCGCTCTGAAATGGCGGAGAGGTGACCCAGGGTGCTCTGGCTCCCCTGGCTGCGGGGAGTGCTCCTGTGCCTTCTGCCTGTTATGTCTGGCGGTACAGGAAATCCTCGTGTTTAATTTTGGTTGTGCTTTCACATTCATTCGAAAAAAAAAAATTTTGAGGCTGTGCTTTCAATTCATCTCGAAAATACACGGTTATGAGGGCATACTGCTGCTGAAGACCTGGAACACAAAGTTTGTGCATAGAACATAATAAAGAAGCACATTTAGGATTCTTCGTGGCGTTTTTCTTCTCCTGAAGTTGGAAGAGCAAGGACAGGTTGAAGTAAGGTATATGTTTTGCACAAGCAGGACAGGATGGGATGGTTGAGAAGGAATGTATAGAAATGTATAAGCAGGAAGAGTGCACTGCTCTTTTTGTGGCAGTTCATGCTTGAATTTCAGGAAGCTGAATTGTGTTCTGTTAGGACAATTTCATAGAATATTTAGCTTGATATTACAGAATGTAGGAAACACCAGTGGTTCCCTTGAAGGTAGGGACACGTATGCAGCATCCCAGATGAAGTAATGGGGCCAAATAGTCCTTGGCAATGTTTACTTGGAAGCACTTATGGTAGAAGTAAGTTTTTCTTCAGTTTTTTGGTATTCCGTGGTTTGTATGCATTATATATTGCTCAGCTTTTCTACCTTCTCTGCTTTGCTGTGCTACCTGCTTTTCAGTGGTACAACTGAGTTCTGTTCCTAAATTTAAAACCTTACCGTGTGTAAGGAAAAACTCTACATAGCCCATGCTCACTATTTGCTTGAAAACAAGGAAAAATAGGAGTTTAAGAGTGGAAATTAACTGCTCATAAGGAAGTGTTTGTCTTTGAAGGTAATTCTGGCTTTAGCAGACTGTTTTTATTTTGTTTCTGTTTTCTTCATGATAAAAGAAGATACTTCTCGTTTTGGGGTGATTTTTTGTTTTGGGGCTGTTGGTTTTGTTTGTTTATTTGTTTGTTTTGTTTTTTTTTTAAGCACTGTAGAAAAGTTCTTTCATTGCTCCCCAGTCCTTCATATAACGTTCTTGCCTCCTGAGCACCACAAATCTCAGGAGCCATTTATGGCCTGGAATGTGTCATCTGCTCATGAGTCATCAAGTTCTAATCAACACTAGTACTGCCAGAGACAGCTGGTTTGCTTCAGTCTCTGAACAGACAGCTGCCCTTCTTCTAGATGGACTTTGGGGACAGGATGCTAGTGAGGATCGTGAGTAGAAGTTGTCTTAGTTCTCTACCTTTTCCAAGAGATAGTACTTAATGTCCTGTCACAGACAAAAGTTATCTTCCAATACAAGAGCATCTTTTGGGAAGCAGCAGTCATACAGGACTGTTTTTACTTGAGCTTCTGGCATGTCTTATCAGGCAGTCCATAGGCTCTTGTGGAGAATGCACAAACCCCTGCTTCTGCAGAGTTCATCTTGTCTACTTGGTGACAGGTAGGTAGGTACCTTTGCTCAGAAATGGTGTGGGTACAAAGTGGTGGATCATACCAGCAGGTTGTTGTTGTTTAAAAGTGGCCTAGTCCTAAGAAGCAGTGGTAGACCAGAAATGACAGGCACCTCAAGGCTGAGATTGCTGCCTTTGAGACTGAAAGATGGCCCAGACAGTCTTAAAACTAATTTAGAGAGACAAAAAATTATGAAGAGAGGGAATTGTAATTTTTGAGTATAAAAGAATGTGATTGTGTTAATTCAACAGAACAAATGATTATGTGTAGCATATCTGGAACACTGTCACTCCAAAAGAACTAGAAGAAGTGGTACCAAGCCAGTGAACCAGGTCTGGCAGGTGCAAAATAGCAAAATAGAGCAAAGGAAGGGAATACTGAGGAGAGATTGCCAGCTAATGCAGAAGAGTTTGCAGTCTGTGGCCATTGCCTGAAGACCCTAAGTATTTAGATGGAGAGTTGATAATTTGATGTTGTGCCCTCGGGAACTTAGTGTGATCAAAGAGCTTGCTTTCCTCTTGTTGGTAGTTAGTTGTGGGGAAAGCTGTCTGTTCCCTGAAGAAGTGTCTTCTCTGCTGACAGTCATGTGGGTTTGTGTCTTGATATGCATAAAGAAGTAATGTTACTCTTCTCACTTTTGTTGGAAGTAATGCCACCACCATCCAGTTGCTAAGGCCCAGGCTTATATTCTGTACTGTATTTCAAATTAAAAAAACCTTTTGAGGTCATCTCTTCAATAGTATTTGAGTGCAGTCAACTTCAATGCTGTTCTTTCAGTCTAAAATAATTTGTAAGCTATATTGAATGCTGGAATGTGTTTCAGAGTGGATGACTTGTCTTTGGATGATTTTGTCCAGCCTATTGGTGTGATGGTTTTCCTTCAGCCTTTTATGACAAACTACATTTTGTTTCTGTAAGGAATATGAGAATTTTGGTAATTTCTTAAACATGACATAGAATTGAAAAAGTAACAACTATGAGCCTTTAATTTCTCCTGTTGTACACTGGGAGAGGACACCGAGATAGAAGATATGGCCATACCAGCTCTATACATTATGCCAAACTGCACTGCCTTTACAACAGACTTTTATACAGGTACATTGTGTGGGAAAAAACAAGTGGTAGTACTTGTTTATATTATCTTGCAGGTGGGAACCAGCGTGAACTTGCTCGCCAAAAGAACCTGAAGAAAACTCAGGAGATCCACAAAGGCAAAAGGAAAGAAGATAGCTTGTCTGCTTCTCAGAGGAAACAGAGGTAAGGTCTAGAAAAATTGAGTAAATGTTTAGGCTGAAAAAGGAGAGAGGGACATGGGTGAGAAAGAATCCAGTGTCTTAGCTGACACAGCATTTGAATGCTTTGTTTTTATTTGTTGGCTAATCACTTGCCAGAGCATAAACTGTGGATTAAATTTTGCTGTATCTGCTATTAAACAGATGTATTTTTATTACATCCTGTAAAGCTTTCTCATTTTTTTGACCAGCTTTTTGCCTACTGCAAACAGGAAAAGATTGTGTAATGCTTTCTTGAAGATATTTGATCCATTATGTCCTTTACTTCTAAAATCAAAATAATTATATCAGGTCCACTAATCAAGTAAATTGTCTGCCTCATGGAATACATGCACTAAAAAAACAGGGTAATAAAAAGACTGTTTGTGGCTGAGTAATTATTTTTTTCCTTTTTCAGGTGGAGTTTACTAAATGGAGGGAACTCTGCTTAGAAAAATTGTGAGCCAGTATCTGATATCCAGCTGTTTTTTTCTTCACAGGGATTCTGAAATAATGCAACAAAAGCAAAAGGCAGCTAATGAAAGGAAGTCTCTGCAGGCAGGAGCAAAATGAGCTGCCGCTATGGAGAAGATAGAGTGCACCAATGAAGCAGAAGGACCTAGAAGATCATACATAAAATCGGCCATTAAATAAATAAATGTTTATTTTGCAGAGTTGTTCAACTAGCATTACTTCGAGTATTTTCTGGTTACTATAGGCCTAGTTGTCTATAGTGCTCTTTCAAAACTGACTATACTCTTCTGCATGTCTGTGAATAAAAGTACCAAGCAATAGCTTTATTCTAGCTTTTGCTGCATTTGTTAGTTTTACTTAATGGTTCCAGTAACAGAATTTCAGAAGTTAGACCAGACTTGGTTGCCTGAATTCTTGAAAGTACACCTTCATTCAGAATGGAACAGACTTGTAAGATGTGCTTCACCTTGTGGAGGTCTGAACTGTAAATCTCAAAATATTTTTACAATAAAATGATGCATATGAAGTACTATCTAATCTGAAATGGTTATGCTTTATAATCAGTTGATTTCTAAGAAGTTACCAAGAACATAAGGAATGGATAATCTTGTGGAGGAGTGCAGTATAAGAGTGTAAGTATAATATAAAGTATAAGTAAAGTTTATAGGAAATGCATATTATAAGCACTGTCACATGCAGCTTAAGTCTGCCCTATAGGAAATATTGCCACTTGACTTGCAGACTTTGCTGGTGTACAAAAGTGACTCAGTCAAGTCCCGATACTACCTTAAAGAAGCTGTAGGCTTGATGTTAATGAGTTAAATGGAAGCTGATGTTGAAATTGTTACACCACTAAAATTGTTTGAAACTACTGCTTAAACCTGCCTCAGGAATGTAAGTTAGTGTGGAAAAACTCAGCCCCTGCTTTACAGGCATGCTTGAGTATATTGTGTACTGAGCAGGGGAAAACTGTTGAGGAAACTTCGCTGTCTGACCATCCAGGAGCCACTGTGGCAGTCACATTCACACCAGCTGCACCGGGACTGAAGCCCCTTCACAGCTGTACTCCTCACACTCATCAGACCAGAATTCCTTACCATCCCAAGCCCAGGCTTCCATTAGCAGATTCTCAGATGTCCTTATCTTTAATATAACTTAATCTTGTTGCAATAACAAGGTCACAGCTCCACCTGATGTCTTTGCAGAGGGGCCCTAAACAAAGGAACCTTTGGCTTTTACACCCTGAGAATCTAGGGGTGGGTCCTGGTTTGTGCTGTGCCTCAGTTCCTCGTGCTGGTGCCACAGGTCCTTGTGCTCTTTGTTGTGCAGTAGGTTGGCCTCTAGCCTTGGGCTCCCACTGCAGCTGCACCTGGAGCTGCTTGCACTGATTGTGTTCCTCAGCAAATCATTCAGTCTCTAGCTAGAGTTTGAAGCCTTTGCTTTTTAAACTGTGTTCTAAGTGCATTCATTCATTGGTAATAGGCCCCTGGCACAGGCTGAGGAGAGCTGGAAGGAAATTGTAGCTGGTGCTGGCAGTAGTTGAGAAATTAGGCAAATTCACAGAATCACTGAATTGTTAGGGTCAGAAGGGGCCTGTGGAGATCATCCAGTCCAAGCCCTCTGCCAAGACAGGGACAGCTGGAGCATATGCTGCAGGAATGTGCCCAAGTGAGGTTTGAGAGGCTCCATGACTTTCCCTGGGCAGCCTGTTCCACTGCTCTGCCATCCTCAATGTAAAGAAGTTCTTAAAGAAGTTCTCTGTCTTATTGAAGTGCAATTTCTTGTGTTTCGGTTTCCTTGCTTGTCCTATCGCTGAGCACACTGAAAAGAGTCTGGCAAACCATCCTCTGGGCACCTGCCTTCGAGATACTTGTTTTGATGAGATCCTCTCTCAGTCTGCTCTTCTCTGGACTGAACAGCCCCAACTCCTGCAGTCTCTGCTGATGAGATGCCCCAGACCCCAAATCATCTTTGTGACCATTTTCTGGACTCTTTTGAGTAGCTCCTTGTCATTCCTGTGCTGAGGAGCCCAGCACTGAACACAGCACAAGTCCTTCGCTCGCTTTGCCCGCAGCTCCCAGGGCGGACCTCTGGCTGAGCAGGCGCGTGCGCGCGCACGGCCGCGCCCCTTCCGGCGGCCGAGCGGGGCCGCGCGCGCGCGCGGCGGGCGGGCGCGCGGCATGGCGGACGCGGTGCTGTTCCGGCGCGGCGCGGGCCAGGTGGGAGCGGCGGGGCGGGAGCGGGGCGGGAGCGGGGCCCGGCCATGGCGCTAAAGGCTGTGTGCTCTCCCCAGAGCGACGACTCGGACATCTGGGACGACACGGCCCTCATCAAGGCGTACGACAAGGCGGTGGCCTCCTTCAAGGTAAAGGGCCGGCGCGGCCGTGGCTGGATGCTGGGGCTGAGACCGCTGGTTTGGCACTTACTGGTTTTCTCCTTTCTCTTCCCTAAGAATGCCTTAAAGAATGGGGAGTCCTCGGAACCTTCAGACAAGCGGGAGGAGAGCGTGGTGATAAAGAGAAAAAATCATAGAATGATCGGAAATAGAAACAAGTGCAATACCAAGTGCAATACCGCACCTTTGAAACAGGTCGTCTCACTTGTAAATGCCAGTGGTGATTGTACTGCCGTTTTAAACCCTACAGGATACAACTTAGTAAAATCTTGGTTTGGCCAACTTGCAAATACAACATATTGTACTTATGCACTCAGAAGTTGCTGCTTCGTCACCTTGAGAGTAACATTTTGGAATGGTGGTGTAGGGTGATAATGTTATAAATTTCAGGTTACATAGAGGAATTTCAGTAAATACAAAGGAAACACTGTAGGTGGGATCTATCTTTCTGGACAAAAAGTAGTTTAGGAAGCAGTTCTGTCCAGCCGTGTAGATATTTACATGCTTCTCTTGCTTCTGTTGCAGTGGAAGGTTGGTGACAGCTGCAGTGCTGTTTGGTCTGAGGATGGTAATTTGTATCTAGCAACTATTGCCTCCATCAACCAGAAGAGAGGCACATGTGTCGTCACTTACACGGGATATGGAAATCAGGAGAAGCAGAATTTGTCTGATCTACTTCCTCCAGCCAGTGATGAAACAGTAAATGGGATGGGGCATTCTGGGGAGGTGAGGGACTTTTCCATTCTTCCGTAAAGAGTTGGGAAAGTGGGAGAATGAACTTCTTTTAGTATGTCTGGTGGCACTGCTGGTGTTCCGAGTGAGAAGCGAAGCATAATTCTGTTGTAAACAGATACAAATTGATGGACAGAATGAAAGCATCCCTTCTTGAACTCAGCGTGGAAGAAAGGGAGTGGACAACAACAAATTCATCAGTGAAAGAGTGTAGCTAAAATGATGAGCAGATAAAGTTATTCCTTTGTAGGACTGGGTGGGCTGGAGAGAGGGAAGGATATGAATGGGACTTTCCAAACTTTTTCACACTAAAACTATTGTTGTAAACTCATGTTTAGTGCATATAATAAAAATGTCTTTGTCTTCTAGAATGAAAATGAGACTCCATATTCAACAGATGAAAGTGAAAAATCTTCCCAGTCACCTCGAAACAAAAACAACTGCACAAAAGCAAGATTTTCCCCTCAAAACTTGAGATTTTCCACACCACCACCACCAGCCCCAGGCTCAGGAAGGGTAAACTCAATTAATTGAAATAATTTATCTACAATTGCTAAGCATGATATTATTGTGAATCCTGAGACAATATGATGATATTTATCATTGTCTAGAATTTAATTAACAGAATTTTGAGAATGGGTGTACATATATGCATGTCAGTATCTGTTGGTCTGCCATTTTAGAATTATCTGGCCACAGTATAGTCCTTCTGCAGTGCTGCTGTCTAGTAAGGAGAACCTTCTGGTCTGTAGCTAACATTTGCTTTTCAATTGCCTTTTGTCTTAAAAGAGGGATATTGTTGCCTGCGTTATGGTGTTGTGATTAAGGACAGGGCTGTTGATGTTTTATGATTTTGCATTTTCTAGCCAATTTGTATGTTTCGCTTCACAGGACATTGAAGGCATTAAAGGTGATGTCCACATATCATAGAGCCTCTCAGCTGTAGCTGCTCTCTAGAATTAAGGGTGAATGGGGTATTGATACACCCTTCAGTTTTCCAGTTGTGTAGGAATCTAAATAATAGTGCCGTTGTTTTCTGAAATACAGCATTATGCTTTTTAAATGTTACTGTTTGTGCAAGATTTCTTTATAAGGTTTTATTTTATCTTTTTTCTGTTTCTTCAGTGGATTTGTATCTAGATTTTTATACAAGGAAATTCACTAGCACAATGGAATTTAGTCAACTTTTGCCCCATCTACACAGGAGCAGGGAAATTATCTGTTTGCCTGTGTGAATATTTGATCCATTTCTTCCTGTTGAGAGTGTGACTGTTGACTTCCACTTAGGAAGGCCTTTTAAAAATGTTTGTATTAACCAGAGCCCTGTTTCAGCAGTGTTTAACTCAGTAACATGAGTAATCTTAAGCTGTACTTCTCAAGTTGTGGAATGTGCCTCAGATACATTTCATCATTATGTACATGTCTCTTAGGTAAAATGCTAATACTCCAAAGTCCCTTTTAATTTATAATTTTCCACTTTTTTTTTTCCATGTAGTCTGGATCAAAATTCAAGGCACCTCCATCATTTTTATCTTGCTGGCCCCCTCCCTTCCCAGCAGGACCACCAGTAAGTGACAAAAGAACAGGGAAGATGAGTATTGGTGATCTCAGGTTTTCTTACTGAATGTGCTCACTGCCTGTGATTTTAGAATACATTTGTTCTGTTTGCCTGTATTTTTCATGTATTTGTTTAACACATTCAGTTCCAAATATTATGATAATCTAACGTACAAGGTCTGATTTGCACTCATTTCTGTGACAGTGAAGCTGTTGGTAAGAATGCCAAGGGATAAATTATTTGAAGAAACGACACTTTTGTGTTAACAGCATTTCACCGAAGAAGATAGTATTTTCCCCTAGTAAGGCTTTTTGTGTACAGTACTCCCGTGAAGCTACAGGAGTTGTGTTTTCCTAGGCTTTGGAAATTACATGTGTTCAGGAAACATCATCTCTGATTCCTATTCAGAGAACAAACTGAGGATATGTTCCTATTTTTCAGTTTCATGTTTTAATCTTTTAGAATTAGTTGCTCTCTAATCTGGGAAACATCCTATTGAAACAGACATTTCCTTTGTGATTCCTTAGTTAATTCCTCCTCCTCCACCACCCATGAGGCCAGACTCTGCTGAGGACGATGAAGCATTGGGGAGCATGTTGATAGCCTGGTACATGAGTGGTTACCACACTGGATATTACCTGGTATGTGCTGCTGTAGTTTTGAAGTGTCTTGGTAATTTTGCACTGCTATTGGTGCTCCTGTTTGCAGCAGGAAGCCATACAGAGTACAGAGAGGGCTGCTTTTTAGGTGTCTTACTCTGATTTACAGTCAATACATTTAAGGGTGTTTTGTATTGTGTAAATACTGAGTTGAGTAGAATTCACGTGAACGTGAGCCAGCAAATATATAT